TTATACACTTTATATACTTTATATACTGTTACTCAGTACTTAGGATGTGTTTTTTGTTGTTGTGCTTGTGCACTTCACTGTTTGTCCTATCCTGTCATGTCTTTTGTCTTGTCTGCGCATGGGACAGTGAGAAACGCAATTTCGATTCCTTTGCATGTCCAGTGCATGAGAAGGAATTGACAATAAAGCTGACTTTGACTTTGACTTTGACTATATGCGGGTCAAGATGCAACAGTGAGAACTGGATACGGAATCACTGACTGGTTCAAAATTGAGAAATGAGTTCGGCAAGGCTGTATACTGTCACCTTGCCTATTTAACTTATATGCAGGGCACATCATGAGAAAGGCAGGGCTAGATATATCAGAAATTGGAATTAAGATTGCAGGGAGAAATATCAACTACCTCAGATATGCAGGTGATACCACTTTAATGGCAGAAACTGAAGAGGAACTAAAGAGTCTATGGATGCGGGTGAAGGAGGAGAGTGCAAAAGTTGGTTTGAAACTCAACATTAAGAAAACTAAGATCATGGCATTCAGCCCTCTCAATTCCTGGTAAACAGATGGGGAAGAAATGGAGGTAGTGACAGATTTTATTTTCCTAGGCTCCAAGATCACTGCAGATGGGGACTGCAGCCAAGAAATTAAAAGACACTTGCTCCTGGGGAGGAAAGCTATGACAAATCTAGACAGCATGCTAAAAAGCAGAGACATCACCCTGCCAAAAAAAGTGCGTATAGTCAAAGCTAAGGTTTTCCCAGTTGCAATGTATGGCTGTGAAAGCTGTACCATAAGAATGGCTGAGCGTCAAAGAATTGAGGCCTTTGTACTATGGTGCTGGAGAGGACTCCTGCGAGTCTCTTGGGCTGCAAGGAGATCAAACCGGTCAGTCCTTGAGGAAATCAACCCTGACTGCTCCTTAGAAGGCCAGATCTTGAAGATGAAACTGATATACTTTGGCCACCAAATGAGAAGGAAGGACTCACTGGAGAAGAGCCTAACGCTGGGAAAGATTGAGGGCAAAAGAAGAAGGGGACGACAGAGAATGAAGTGGTTGGATGGAATCACAGAAACAGTCAGTGCAAGCTTAAATGGATTCCAGGGGATGGGGGAGGACAGGAAGGCCTGGAGGAACGTTGTCCATGGGGTTGCGATGGGTCGGACATGACTTCGCAACTAACAACAACAATTGTCCAATAAATGCACCAATTTTTAAATGGCAAAAAATCATTCAATTTATTATTGCAAAGCTTATTTCAATTTATATTTCATTATTTATTGGCACATTTAATGAATGACATATTGTAAGTTTTATTGAAGGATTATTTGCTAGATAGATTGAAAGATAGATTGCAAGATAAATTGACGATTTGAAGAATTGCAGTATGTAAATTAGGTCTGCACTGATTGGTCTGTGAAAGCATTCATTATTCTGGTTACCAGTCAATCATAGAATTTTATTTGTTTACAAAGCGTTACACAGTCAGGCTCCAGAATACATTGCAGATCTCCTATGTCCCTGTTCCACTTCAAGGGCCCTGAGATCCTCTCATCAAATGTTGCTGTCTATCCCTCCTTTACATCTAAAGGGAAAAGGTGATTGAGCTGTCTCAGTTGCTGTACTTAGGCTGTGGAATTGTCTTCCACTCACCATCAGATCTGCAACTACTGTTGAAATTTTTAAATCTCATCTTAAAACATATTTATTTTTGCTAGCTTTTGAGTATGCCTGAGCATAATTGCTTTTGTTTAATTGTAGTTGTAATTTTTAATTCGTTGTAATTTTATCTAAGAACAGTGGTACCTTGGTTTACGAGCATAATTCATTCCGGAAACATGCTTGTAATACAAAGCACTCGTATATCAAAGCGAATTTTCCCATTAGAAATAATGGAAACTCATATGATCCGTTCCACAACTCAAAAAAATTCATATAAAAATTATTAATACAAAATATAAAGTAAAAATACATAAAACAAATTAACCTGCG